GGGGTCTGGTGTGGGCGAACTTCCCCCGCTCACCTCTGGCTCCTGAGGAAGCCTTCTGCAGGTAGTCTTTACTGAAGAAATGTCCCTATTCTATAATGGTGATGTGGGACACACTCCCTGCGCGTCCGGTCTCAGGCACACTCTTCTGCGCGCTTGGTCTGCCCTGGCTGTGGGTGCTCGCTCTCCCTGTGGGCTCAGACTACTTGTTCGGAAGGGGCCCGGCGTGGGCTAACTCCCCAGCTGGCCACTAGCTCCTTCAGGAGCCTGTGCTGGCTTCAAGTCGCTAGGTGGTGCCAGAGATCTCTCCTAGAGCCCTTGGGGAGCTGATTTTCCACCCCGTGGGACAGGGAGCAGAGCGGGGATGGTAGGGTACACCTCAACGGCTTTGGGGTGCTGTGTCTGCCTTGTGCCCCACCGTCGTGGGGAACCCACGCCCCTAATTTCGTGCCCCGGGTCTCAGTTCCAAAGCCCTCAGTTCCAGGACTCGGGCTGTAGCCCAGATCAGTGGCGCGGGAATGGCGCCTTTTGAATCCCGCTCCCCTGCCTGGGCGCCTGGTTCCTGCTCACTCAGGGAGGGCCTCCGCGCGTCTCCCCGCAAGCCTAGGTCGCAGGCGCGGGGACCTGGGCAGCTGCGATCCGATCTGGATCCGCGTTTGCTTTTCAACCGCACTGCTTTTCAGCGCGATCCGCGCCGCTTTCCGCGCAATCCTGACCGCGATCCGCGCCTGCTTTTCCGCGCGCCGCTTTCCGCGCAGGCTTACCGGGCGGCCGGGGCTGTGTGCTGGGCTGGCCTCCTCCTGGGCGGGGCTCTCTTTAATGGCGCCCGAGCTCACCTCCGCGGCGGATCCTGCAGGGTTCTCCACAGCTCCCGTTCACGGGGTGTGGTGGCTGCAATAGTTCCTTTCCACTCACAGTCCCGCTTGCTGCGTCCTTTGTTCTTGTGGGTCGTTTTAGTGTGTTGTTTTCCTCCTCTCTGCCGGTCGGAGAGTGCCGCCTCTGTGGGCGGGGGAGGGGAGCAGGGTTCTGCGCTTCCCTCCCTTCTGGTCCTCTTTTATGGCCACTTTCTTCTTCGGGCAGTTTGCTGGAGTCACCCGTTTATCTTCCGTGTCCCAGTTCTCACTGGGACCTGCCGCTTTTCCTCCCTATTAACTTTTTTTAATGGGAGATCTTACTCGCAGCGTCTCCTCGCCGCCATGTTGCTCCGCCCCCTCTCTCATTCCTTTTTTGCACAGATGAGGAAATTGGGCACCCACAGTCAGGACTGGGATTGGGTGTGGGAGACACTCACAGTACATAATTTAAGGGGCACTTTGCTCTTAGGATTGTATAGGTTCTGGGTGTGTGTACCTGCTAGAATTTTGTGCTCTGAGTTTCCTGCTCACTTCACCTTGGTTTGAGCCTTGAAACTGATGCCCATGGAGACAAAGTATTCGGTCAGTTCATTTAGTCAGTGACAGTGTTAGAACTAACACAGTTTCCCTAAGGTCGGGTTGGACTCTCCTCCCCACATTGAACTGGCTTCCCCCTTGCTAATGCTCCAGAGAAATCCTCTCCAGACAGAGTGGTCAGGCTGTAATCTGGATAAGACCTGAGCTCTGATTTGGCTATGGCATGATGACCAGTGAAAACACAGCAGATCCTCACCCACAAGACAGTCACACTGTTCAAGTGGGAAAATGTTTATCAGGTGAATCAACAGGTAAACAAAGGAAATGCTTATCCTTCATAATGAAGACTAAGAGATTTTCTTTACATGCTAATGGAATTATTATGAATAGAGTCATTATATACAGTGACTTTTCTAATTTACAAACCACTTCCCTTAATGAGTAAAACAGAAAATTCTCCAAGGAATAAAGTAGTTTTACCTTTTAGGACAGCATTTGCCAAGGATTTGAAAGAAATAGCTTTGCATTACTTCAAGATTGCTCTAAAACATGAGGTTTTTGGTAAAACAAATAGAACTAACAATCCCCATTTACCCAAAAGAAGTGCAAACTTATGTTCACACAAAAGCCTGTCTTGAATTTTTCCTCTAACCACAAAAAAGTCTGTAAAAACCAAAATGCCTTCAAGGGACTAATGGATAAACAAGTTATGATGCATCAATACACTGCAGTACTGCACAGAAATGAATAGGAGTGAACTATTGATGGACACAACAATTTACATGGATCTCAAATGCACTATGCTGTGGGAAGGAAGACTGACTCAAAATATTACATTCTATATGATTTCATTTATATGGCATTGTGGAAAAGGCAAACTTATAGTAGGAGAAAACAAACCAGTAGGTGCCAAGGCTGGGGGTTAGATGAGAGACATGAGGAATTTTTTGAAGCGATAGAACTGGTTTAAGTCTTGTTTTTCACGGTGGTTACTGTGATATATGTATTTGTCAAAAATCATTAAGTGATGCATTAACAATAATCAATTTTACTGTAAAAACACTTTGATAACTACTTTTCAGAGTAGTTTCTAATCTTAAGTATTAAATAGCATGCCTCTAAAAAAATTATTCTGAGGAGGGGGCCTATATCTTTATCAGACTTTTAGAAGGGTCCATGAAAAGTAAACCTAAGACCTGCAGCTTTGGTGAATCTGAGCTCCATCCTAGCAACACTCAGTGTCACCAAAGACTTCTCACATCTCAGTTGCTTGTCAGGGATGCACAGAGGAAGGCCAGCATCTCCCTGTGTGTGTGACAGAGATAAGTCTGTCTGATCCCTGATGTGCTGTACCCTGGCTCTGTCTCAACCCCCCTCCCTCCAGTATGCTTGCAGAGCTCTGCCTCCCTCCTGGTTCCTGGGAAGAGATCCATGACAGAGCATGCTGTTCTATACTTTGTGCTCTTATTTTTAGCCAGTGAGTTGGTCCAGTGATCTTCAGTATTTTTTTTTTTTAGGCCTTTCATGCTTTTAAGACAAAGCTATCTGCATTTTTCCAGTCCTTTTATTTGCTGTTGGTGAAATAATTCCTTTGAAATGCTCGTTGTGTTTTAATGGTGTTTGGGTTATCTGGTATTTTGCTCTATAGTTACTGCATAATATTTTATCTAATCAACTTTTTTTAAGAGCAAAGCTGTGTCATTCTTACTTTTAAGTGACTGGTCGCCAATGACAGAGAACATAATCACCTCCATGACTGATAAAATCTCAGATTTGTTGATCTAGTTTTGAATTTCATCCAATTTCATTTCTATCTGATGTTTACATTCTGACTAGAATCCATGACCCATGAGAATTTTAAAAAAAATAGCAAATCATGCATCTTTATGTTTTCTCTGGAAATTATTTCAATGCAGATCCCTAATGCTATTCATTTATGAGGTTCCTAACTACACTTCCAGTCCATCTAGGAAAGAATTTAAAGGTAATTTCATGCATCACATGGATGACTCTGTAAGTTACAAAATTATATTTTCATGTTTTACAGTGCGATCTGGAGGCTGAAGGGAGATCTTTTATCCAAACATTCATAACACAACCACCATCATGACAATGAAGATTTAAATATAAAAACAGTTTCTCACATCTCTGGTGTTATGTTGAGACCACAATGAGGCAAAGAATTTAGGAAAAAGAAATCCAGAAGTTATGAGGTCCAAAGCTAGGAACCACGAGGAGATAGATTTTTCAGTCATATTTTGAAAGAGATGTTTAAGACACCTGTCTCTGCTGCAGGTATCTGAATTTAATCCCCACCCAAACTTTGTCACAGGCTGCACAGCCACTTCCTAGAGGGGTTTGAGAAGCAGACAACTCTGCATCATGTAGCACATTGACCTAATAGTCCAGAGGGTCCCCTCCAGCTCTAAGAATCTGCACATCTTTGACTCTGGGATGCATGGCTTATTTTTGTTGTCTTGTCTAAAGCAATCTAATTAGATACTAGATGCTATCAGATTTACTTTATCCCTCTTAAAGAGCAGAAAATTGAATTCATTGTACTACTTAGTTTTTGAGACATTATTTCCTCTGGTCTGTGCAAAACTATCCAGTTATTTGTTTAATTAATTCAATTATTTATTCATTCCCTCATATCTTAACACAGTCTGTTTCTATTTTCCTCTCCCACATTATGCAAAATGCTAATATATTTAGCATGTATTTTCCTGTTTAATGAAAAGCCATATCCTTGCACAAATGCATCCATTTTGCAAAATTTGTGCTGTTTTACACAAGTGCATGTTCAATTAGAAAAACAGAATAGACTGTGATAAAGAAACTTATTATAAAATATTGGCTCAAATGATTATGGTGGTTCCAAGATCTATAGAGTGAGTTACAAACCAGAACCTAGGAGAACTGATGTTATGTGGTGCTAGACTAAAAGATGGCAAGCTCAAAATCCAGGGAAAACCAATGTTTCAGTTATCCGCCAAAGGGAGGAAAATATTGATGTCCCAGTTAGAAGACTTCAGGCAGGAAAAATTCTCTCTTACTCGGGAAAGGATTAATATTTTAGTTCTATTCAGTTAAAGAACTGATTTGTTGAGGTCCATCAAAATTATGGAAGGCAATCTGCTTTACTTAGTCTATCAATTTAAATGTCAATCTTGGGGCCTCCCTGCTGGCCTAGGAGGGGTTAAGTCTCAGCACTATCACCTCTACAGCCTGAGTTCTATCCCAGGCCAGGGAGCTAACCCACATGGTGCAGCATACCTCTCCTGTCTCACCCACTGTTTCCCTCAGCAGTGTATTTCAGTACATCTGCCTGTTCTGCTTTCCACTCTGACTCTGGTGAAGCTTCTTACCACCTTCACCTCTGGCCTGCACCCCAGTTCTTCTACACAAACAACAATAATAATAGTAATAACAATAATAATAATTCTTAAAAATAAATATATGTCAATTTCATCCAAAAACACCTTCATAAATAGCCAAGAATAATGTTTGACCAAATATTTCTGCATCCCATTGCAAAATGATCTATAAACTATCACAGAGTATAAAATCAGGAGTGTAAATGCTGAATCATGAAACATGTGTATACTTAACTTGATCAGGTACTGTATGGTTACTCTCTAGGTTGGTAGACGTAGTCTACTCACAGTAGATCCATGTGTTCTAATTCCCATTATTCTTAATCCATGGCAACATATGGCATCATTCAATTTTATAATTCTGAGATTTAAAGAGACATCTTAGTGTTGTTTTAATTTGCATTTTTCATAATACTAATGAGTTTGAACAACTTTTCATATGCATGCTATCTAGTTTCCTCTTCTCTAATTGTTGTTTTAATATGTTTCAATCTCTAATGTGTTGAATTATCACTCCATTTCATTTGGTATTTATTTGTATTTTCTAATTTTCTTGTTCAATCTTGCCTGAGGTGTACCTTGTTAATATTTCCAAAGAAAAAAAAGTTAAGCTTTTAAAAATTTTTCAATTGCTCTTGTGTTTCGTTTTCACATTTATCTCTTCTTACACTCCTCTTCCTTTTTTCCCTTTTTTGAAAAAAGTGATGACAGTTTATTCTACACAGAATCTCCCTAACAGCATAGAAAAATAAAAACTGACACATGGTAGGTGCACAATACAAACTATATGGTCCCAAAATATAATCATGGGATATATATCAGATAGGTTTTCCGATTTTCCAGTAAGGAGAAATAAGAAGGAAGAAAAGAGTAACAATTCCAAGTAAACACAAAACTTAACAAGACAAAAACATTAAACTTTAAGATTCAAAAATAATCCTATTTGGTTCAATGTGCTACCTTCAGATCCAATGTTAGGAGGTAATGTCACCCACACATTATGGCTGTCTGCAGTGACCCCACACATGCCTTCATTCTCTGTAGAGGTAAATTTGAAACAGAATATTCAATCAATTTAACTTGTTTTGTATAGAAACTTCTTTATTGCCTAAAAAAATCTACTGATCTGTAATGTTGTTTTCCCAAATACATTGTACATTATCTTTAAAGATAAAATATTTTCCATATTATTATTTTTTAAGCAATGACTTTATATTAAAGATAATTCCAAGGAATTTTTAGCTTCTTGTTTACACCATTCAAATTTGAATTATGTCAATCCAAATGGTGATTTATTTGTGATTCACCATATTCAAAGTGTTCAGAGTACTAACTGTAAAACTTGCAAAGCTTTAAACTTGCCCTTTCTAGATATCTTATCACTATTATATATACAGTCAGACTTTAAAAGATGTACTGGCTACAGGAACCAATAAATAATCATTCCCACAATTCAGATGCTAATGCTCAAAAAATAAAATAATGGCTTCCTTTTTAAAACAAATGGTTTTGGGAAAACTGGACAGCCATATAAAAATGAATTCAATTAGATCACTATCTCACATCATATACAAACATTAACTCAAAAATGGATTAAATATTTGGATATAAGACTTGAAATCATAGAGGAAACAGACAAAGCACACCAGGAAACATAGCATTTAGTGATGTCTTGGAGACTAGACTACAGTGGCAAGGAAAACAAAAGCAATATTAAATAAGTAGAAATACATCATACTATAAAATATCAGCATGTGAAAGGAGCTATTATTGAAACAAATTACACCTTACTGAATGGAAAGAAAATATTTGCACACCATACATATATCCATCAATGGGTTAATATCCAAGATCTACATCCATCAATGGGTTAATATCCAAGATCTACAAAGAACTCATACAGCTTCACAAAATGATGAAAACAACCCAATCAAAAAACTGGCAGAAGAACTAAATAGACACTTCTCCAATGAAGGTATACCAATATGCACATGAAAAAAATGCTCACATCACTTATCAAAACCACAATGAGATACTATTTCTCACCTGTGAGAATGGCCCATGTCAAAAAGGCCAGAAATCATAGGATTAGCAATTATGTAGAAAAATGGAAAAAAAAAAAAGGAAACCTCATAAACTGTAGGCAGGAATGTAGATTAATACAATCCCTATAGAAAACACTATGTAGTTTTCTCAAAACATGAAAAAGAGATCAACCATATGATCAGCAATTCCATTCTAGGTATGTACCCAAAGAATGCAAAAACACTAATTCAAAGGAATGTATGCATTCTTGTGGTCACGGCAACACCATTTACAATAGCTAACATATGGAAATAACTTAAGTGTTCAAGGAAAAAACGAGTAGATTAAGAAAATGTGGATCTTTACACATTGGAATACTACACAGCTATAAAAAGTTGAAAACTTGCCATTTGTGGTAGCATGGATATAACAGGAATGGATTGTGCTAAGTAAGATTAATCAAAAGGAGAAAGAGAAATAAATATAGGATGGTGTCACATGTGGACTACAGAGAAAAACACCAAAGGAACAGAAAAATTTAAAACAAATAGATCCAAGAAATATGACTAGAATTGAGACTATCAAAGGGGGAGGGTAGGAGTGAAAAGAAAAGGGGAGAGGTGCACTGTGTGGAGGACTATGGATGCTTTGGTGATAGATATGATGCATAACATACTTCTGAAGAGGTGTGCACCTATTCCCATAAATCATAACCAGTATTATAAACCAACAGTACTTGAATAAAAAAAATACAATAAAAACTAAGTAAAATAAGCAAATAACAATGGAAATCAAGTCAAATTTGGGAAAAGTTTGACTATTCAATTTTGTTGTTACAGTGATTTACCAATACTATTTTAAAAAATTCATCCCTACTTAGCAAATCAGCACATAAAACTTGACTTCTTTTAAAATTATTAGTATGGTATATATAATAAAGCTGGAATACAAGGAGAAAAATAGATGATTCAGTGAATGATAAGGAACAGCAAAGCATTTTCTCATCTGGGGGCAATGCAACAAATATTAACTTCCATGGAATTCATCTTTTTTGTAGCACCAAGCAGGGTGAATATCTAAGATCTCCTAAGTTGAATGAGAAACTGCTAATATCTCATTTCATCTCTCTCTCTTTATCTGAAAGTATTTGGAAAAGAAAGTGTATTGATCTGTCTCCCTCCTATACACACCCTAACCAGTGAGAAAATAACCTGGGTAATATTGAGGGTCAGCCCTGAGTTTCTTTTTTTTTTTTTTTAATTAATAAATTTTATTTTATTATCAATTGCAATCCCCCCCTGAGTTTCTTAGACACTAAATAATTGATCACAGAAAGTGAAATATTTGGGGCCCTGGGATTAGCCACTCAAGCATTCCATGCCCACATCCAGTTTCTGCTTGACTTGGTTTAACTGTGCTTTTTAAATCAGTGGGGCCCATGACACATGTGAGGACAAGAACATGTGCTCTGAGGATGCTCTGAGGACCAGAAAACATGCTGAATAGGAGTTGTCACCTGATTGATGACTAGAAGGTTAGTGCTTCAAAAACAAATATCCACTGTGTTATCAATAGTGTTAAATCTCTTTCCGGTGATGTGTTTCTGGAATTATGACTTGATTTTGGCCATAAAGAGAAGATGCAGGGCCTCCCTGGTGGTGCAGCGGGTTGAGAGCAGTGCTGTGAAGCTGATGGCAGCTCCGCAGCGTCGGTTCGATTCCCGGCCAGCCAGGGAGAATCCCACATGGCGAGGCAGACCTCTACTGTCTCGCCTGCTGCTCCCCTCAGCAGTGTTATTGGTCCATCTGCCTGTTCTGCTCCCCGCTCTGTCTGTGGTGAATTCTCTCACCCTCCCACGACTCTAGGCTTTACCCCAGCTCTTGTATAAATAAAAATAAATCTTTAAAAAAGAGAGAGAGAAGATGCAAAAACCACTTGCCATGGTCAGGTGGGAATAGTTAAAGCAGTTAGAATAGGACCTAGTCCCAAAGCAATAGAACAGAAGCTCTCCCCACTGGAGAGAATAAAAGAATAATGTAAAATCAAGAAAGATAACATCACTAATGACAACATTGTAATTATCTTTCCATTGAAAAAATGAAAATATGGCATACTTCTGCATATTTTCTCTTTACAGGGGAAAATGTGGGTGCAATTGAACTCTGCTACATGGTAATATTATAAGCTATTCTAAGAGCAACATCAGAGAGTAAACAAGAACATCCAGGCCTGTGCTGGTCATTGACCACCAGCACTATACCATTACTAAAATGCAGTGACTGCAATAATAAATTCAAAATGCTGCACTCTAGAGTTAAACTTAGTTAAACTTGGTAGCACTTTGGGACAACCCTTAGTCTTTGTAATGCATATCGGAAAAGGGATTCCTAAGGGGTGTATATTGTTTTGGGAGCAATGGAGGGCTCCACTGGGAAGCTGAGAAGTAACACTGACCTCTTCTTCTATCACAGTGATCAGAAAAGGAGAATAGAAATTTAATGAGAATTTCATCCTAAACATGTAAATGTGGGTGACATGTTGAGGTTGTATTTTGTCTATTGTTACTTTTTCCAATACTCAAAACTAAGAATGTTAGTGAGACATTGGTTCCAGTTTATAGATGTTTCTAGAAGTTCAGAGGGAAAAATATTTCCACAAAGGTGATAGAGCTAACTTAGTGACCTGAAGGTAACGTACATTTGCCCTGATAAGAGGCATAAGAAGCAGAGATTTCTCTGATGGTGCAAGTGGTCAAGCACAGCACTATGAAGCAGTCCTCAGCCTCTGCAATACGAGTTCGATCCCTGGCCGGCCAGGGAGAAACCACATGGTGATGCAGACCTCTCCTGTCTCGCCTGCTGCTCCCCTCAGCAGTGTATTTCAGTAGATCTGCCTGTTCTGTTCCCCTCTCTGTCTCTGGTGAGTCTTCTTACCTGCCCTTCAACCCCCACACCTCTGGCCTGTACCCTAGCTCTTGTATGCATAATAAATAAATCTTAAAAAAAAAGCAGAGATTTCCAAAAGAAAAAAATACTAAAATGTTTGAGTTGCAGAGAAACATGGATTATTACAAATATGGAATAAGGAAATTCTCCAAAATGAAACTACAGAATACCAGAAACACTGATTTAAGAATAGTGAGTACCAGAGATCTCAAGTCCATAAATCTGAAAAATGGAAGTACAGAGCCTCAGTGTTGGGAGTGTTCTTAAAAAGTCCTTTCCATCTA